CTGTTTGCCACTGGAAGCACTGAGAACCAGACTTCCTGTAATAGGAGATTTTTGGTTTGGGTTGGTTTTTCCTTTTAACTGAACTGTACTGCAGGAGACCAATCTCTAATGGAGCAAGATCTGAGTGGGTTTACTGGGGGACTTCAAAATGGGTTGACTTTCCCATTTTTCTATGACACTTCTTGGATCATTCCCTGTATTCCTCCATCTCTACCTCAAAAAATAAATGTCCCATCTGACATTACAGGTTCACCTCAACTAAGGATGATTATATCCCTATGTCACATTCTCCCCTGTTCTCTCTAACTAGTTCCCCCTTCTGACTTTCCCAAGTCTGTCAACCATGGCATCATTCATTCTCCAGCCATTAGGTTTAAAATCCAAGGTTCTTTTTTTCCCTTTCATTCCACCCCCCCCCCTTTTTTTTTCTTTTTATAAAGTAGGCTCCATCCCCAGCATAGAGCCCAGTGTAGAGCTTGAATTCATGCCCCTGAGATCAAGATCTGAGCTGACGTCAAGAGCCAGATACCTAACTGACTAAGCCACCCAGGCACCCCCTCATTTCCATTTCTATCTTTGTTGTTGTCTACTCTACTTTTACCTCTATGTGGCAATCCTGCTTAGGTTTAAGATACTACTTAATGTTGCAGACGTTGGTTACTGACATGATTTTCCCACCTTTTTTGTTTTTTATTTTTTTTTTTAGCCATAACATGTTGCTGCAAAGCCATTACTCTCCCCAGGACAGCCTTCTGATCTACCCAGGTCCTAGGTATCAAGTTTTACCACTATTATGGTCTCAGTACCAAAGGCCAAGTATGGAACAGATCTGATGACTTGCTTCTGATCCTATACCAAATTCCCTCCCCCTTCCTTTCCAGTGATTCAAATCTTACTTATTTCAACTTATGCTCAACTTGGAAAGTCTGCTTTTATAATATTTCTCTAACTCACATCTCTAAATGTGCTATAATTATAGTAGTCAATGTTGAGTAAGCTTAAAAAAGAGAGTATGCCAAAGAAAGTGGGCTGAGCTACACAGGCACTCAGCTTAATGGACACATATTTTACAGAAGTCTACATTTCCTTAACATAAAGAGCACTGGTTTGATTTTTATTTATAGTTATTTTTTATAGGACCTTTATGGGTAATACCATCACCAATTTTCTGCATTTTGTTGTCTATGAATAGTGCCGAGAGTAGGGTTAAAACAGAATTCTTAATCTTTCTATTATTAATTACGTAAGATGAACACAACTTAGGGACTGGTTTGATCTTGGTGTGGGGCTGCTGATCTCTAAGAAATCACATATGGTAAAATATTACTGTCCTTGGAACAAACCGTGTTGAGTGTGAGAGGCATTTTTCACACAAGAGACTAATTCCTATAAGAAGAAGAAAAGAACACCAGCTAGGAGTCCAGAAATGTCAGAAGCTTTCCTGCTTTTTCTCTCTTGATAAAAGGCCCTCAAGGCTTATTATGGGATACAGGCCATTACAGTGAAGAAGAGTAGTCGCAAAGAAGGTCACCATGGATATTTTTAGCCTATGTAAATTTGGGGGACAGTATCCTTTTTGAGTTTACTTTGAATCATCACATTTAATTCTCCATGATACAGTGGACATTGCAAGGTATCAACCGTTGCAAAGATTCCACTGGCCGTGCTGGTGACTCTCTAGGATGCCTCAAAAGCTACTGCTACTGAGATAGAAGCAGAGTCTCTTAGGGCAAACACCTGTTAATATTCTGTACTGTTGATTTTTCTTTTTTCTTTTTGTTGTATTTCCCCATTTATTTAGTAACTGACATTTTTTTTTTTTACATTTCTATACATCCTAATGTCTCAAGCTCAATGACCTGCACGTAGTATTTATTAATTAATGAATTAAAAAAAAACACAAGCATATATCTTGGAAGTACAGTAACTTAAAAGATGCACATCTGACTGTCTAACAAACAGAAATTTCAAAGCTTCTTCCTAGGATCTCAGAGAGACCTCTGATACAGCCAACAAAGATACTGGGGAGAAAATGCTGTAAGTGGTATTTATGCATATTTTAGCATGTGTATTTTCCAGATACACATGATAAGGATATGTTAAATGATAGGGATCACTTAATATGTCTGGAACAATAAGTGTGGGGTGAAAATAAAAGAGGTGCTCCTCTAAAGGAAGTAAAGTAAAAAGTAAAGTGGGGTAATCTTTTTTTCTATGAATGTACTCATGACTAATAATTATGGGCCTCTGCTGACCACACAGGCAGAGTGAGGATCACTAGAAGGGAATGAGCTCACCATAGTACACACTTATTTCTAGTCATTTCCCCAAGGAACAGACATGAGTCTAATCTGCTTATAGAGACTTGCTCCCCTTTAAAAACACAAGGAGAGCTGACTTTGAGAACCTGAGGGTCAGTGGTCACTTAAATCCTGAAAACACTGTGACAACATTTTAATTAGAATTATATCTACACTGATGAACCCACTAACTTCTTGACCAATTTCTTTTCATTGCAGCCTTGCCACTAATTTTCCTTTTATTGAAATTATTTCTATAAGGATGAATTAGGTCACATTTACATTTTTAAGAAGATGTAATTCATTCATATGTTTTAATGTCCATATTGACCTCTGCCAACTGGTGCTCCAGCTATTTCCATTTTTATTTGTGATCATATTTCTTTCAAGTCCATATGGTGCAGATCTACACTTGTGAGGCACAGAGGCTCAGGGTGAAAGGAGAGTGGCAGAAAGTGAGAGAAAAAAGAAACAGAAAGAAGTAAACAGAAAAAAAAACCCCAAAAAACCCCCAAGCTGCAGTTCTTCTGGAATCTTGACCTCAAACGACCTAGATACAGAGCAGGGTCAAAATATCCCCGGACTTTATCTTGAGGGGAAGGAGATCTCTAGGGAATTATGGCACCAGCTCAGAAGTTGGGGAAAATGAGCTGTCTCAAGCATAGTGCTGCAGAAATTTGCCCAGGGGCCAGCTTGATCATTGTAATCTGAATATGTTGGTCATGTGGATGGGCATTCTGCGTAGTTCTCACATTAAAGTCCTGTTTTTGCTTCTCTACTACAGTGGTTTTCAAAGTGTCGTCCCAGAACCTTGGGGAAGTTCCTGATGGAAAACTATGTCTATATTAACAACAATAATAATATCCTGCTGGCATTTGCACTGATTTAGCAAAATGGAAGAGGGTGAAACTACTGGCATGTTACTGTGGAATCAAAGCAGTAGCACCAAGCTATATTAGTCACTGTATTTTCACCACCACAAACTTGTAATAAAAAGTTGCCATTTTCAGGTAAGAATGTCCTTGGTGAACAGTAAAATAATAAGAACTTAGTTTATGTCTTGAGAGAGACAGAGATAGGGACAGAGCGAGCACACGAGCAGGGTAAAGGGGCAGAAAGGAGAGAGGGAATCTTAAGCAGGATCCAGGCTTAGCACGGAGCCTGATGTGGGGCTCAATCCCACAAAACTGGAATCATGACCTGAGCTGAAATAAAGAGCTGGATGTTCAACCACCTGAGCCACCCAGGCGTCTCTTTCAAAATATTAATTTTATTAAATCTCAGCCCTTGAGCACAGGTCTCTTGAGTACTCTGTGACCAAATGGCAAACACACAGAGAGCAAGTCTGGGGCATACTGAACTCTGATGGCTCTTCTGCAACAATGTGTTTGTGCAGCTGTCTGAGTGGCAAGCCAAACCACCCTATTTCCCATGGAACACTGGATTTTCTTAGAAGGATGACGGACACACTATGGTCATCCTGACTTCATGATATGGTGGACATTTTCTCAATTATGAGTTAAGTCAGGCTGTTACTTCAAGGAAAACAACTGACCATTGTGTGACTGATAATAAAATTCATGCTTTGAAGTGAAAATTACAATTCTGGAAAAGATACATCTACCACCCTTGACAACATCTCAATATTTAGAGGTCTTTCCAATGAGAACGGTGTGATACAAACAAATGTGAACTTTTTGATACTGTATATTGAAATGTGCCAAACTTGGGAAGAGCTACATAATCCAATATTTTTAATATGAATCAGGGCCTGATATTGCAAATCATACATGTATAAAATGTGCAAGACAGATCAATGGATTTTAATATAAGAGTATGAAAAGTCCATTGAAATAGTGTCAGATTTCACCCAAAACTAATCTTTAAAAAGAAACTACTATCTATTAACTTTAGAGTAGTAACAATGAAGAAAATTCACAAGTATATGAAACGGTTATTAGGAAATGGCTTCCTTTTCCAAACAGATATGTCCATGAGGTCATATTTTCTTCATGCACTTCAACCAAAACAACATATTCCAACAGCTATAACACAGGAGTGAATACTAAGCTAGATGCTAAAGGGATTTGCAAAAATTAAAACACTCCTGCTATTCTCACTAAAATTTTTAAAAGATATTTTTTATAAAATATACAGCATATATATTTATACATAAAATACAGAGTATAAAAATTGTTTAAAAAAAGTGTTCAAAAAGCTCCAAGTTGTTTTACCTCTTACCAAAATAATTTGTAAATTCAATAATTTAATTAGTTAGTTAATTAACTAACACCAACAGTTATAACCCAGAATAAACCTGTGCTCTTTAGGGTCCTTGATTTTAACAAGTAAAGGAATCCTGAGAGGATTCGACAGGCATTGCTCTCCCATGCCGAATAATTCTGGGAGCAGCCTTTTTCAGCCTGTTTTTCCCAAAGTACTCATCTTACGAAAGGATTCATAATAAAATGGCTCCCCCTCGAATGAGTTTGGAAAATCTGGAGAATCATAACATATGCCATTCTTGGAGAGTTGCAGTCCTTACTAACCTGACAGAGACCAGGGGAAGCATTGCTGCAGAGCCTCTGTTTCATCTTATTTAATCCAAGGTTTCTTTACGTTGTCTTAGGAAGTTTGTGAGTACAAACCATGCTGGTTGCCTGGTCTTGGAGAAGGGGTATGGGTGCTGTGGAAACTCACCTTCCAGACGGACCACCAAGGGCACCTTGAGTTCCAACTCCCGACAGGCTTTGGTGATCCCATTGGCAATAATTGCACAGTTGACAATTCCACCAAATATATTGACAAGGATGGCTTCCACCTGAAATAAAAAATAGGAAGGTCTCCATCAAAATGTTGCTAGGTGACATTCTCAACAATAACTGCCTGAATAATAGAGACAATTAGGATAAGACTCCTCATTGTTGTTGTTTTAACATAGAATATAAAATATAAAACAGAAGGCCCACAAAATGTTAAGAAAGTTAAAATTTACTACTGAATTAGTAAATGTCAATACATACCATTACCATATTAACCCATATTTTTCCATTACTCACTTCTCTCAACTCAAAGTGAAATCAATCCCCATCCATTTATTACATACCATTCTGGTTTTTCTTTTTCTTATGTTGTTGTCTAGAACTGTGTATTGATGAGTGGTGTCATTTAAAATTTCATGCACTTATTTCTTTTCCCTCCATGGTTTTCACTCAAAGTTTTATCTGTCGGGGTACCTTACAGAATATTTCAAAACTAAGGGCCAATTATTTGCTGTTTTGTATTCATAGGTAAAGATTCAAGCTTTTCCATGCCTCCTTACTATGTCTTTGATATGCTAAAGGTATATTCTCAAAAACCAGAGATAGTTTAATTATCTTAGATAACAACTTTTTTGATTAAAAAAAAAAATGAGTCCTAAAAGAATGAGATACAAGTTATCACAAGTAAGAATCCGAGTAAAGTCAAGCCAGTGACTGGAATTTTTCAGAAATGTAAATTTAAACTGATTATGTTAACCTGTTTGTATGTATTCCATATTCAAAGGCATGTAGGAAAAAAAATATCCTGACTTGATAAATAGGTTTAAGAAAATCCTGTATAATTAACTTGAAGAACAAGATAATGAAGAGAATTCATTACCTAGATTAATTGATAACACCCAGAGAAAAAGGCTATTCATCAAGCTGGAGGCATCAGAATTCCAACAATGTCATCACAGTTAAATTAGGGTACACTAAAGCATATACATGTGTGTTGCATGCCACTTTAAAATCCTATTATTTAAATATGCTAAATTTATTACACAAAACATATGAGGAAACGCTGCCTGGTATTTGTTCAGCACTTAACAGTTTCAGAAAGTACCCATTATATCAACCTTCACTGAAAATTTTTATTCTTGCCAGAACCCTATTCGGTAAGTACAGTGAACATTAGCCCTCTGTAGTTGAGAAAGCCGCCCCCCCCAAAAAAAATTCACATTATGTGCTCCGAGGTTACATGGCTAACAAGTAGCAGTGGTGAGGTTCAAAGTCAGCTCTCTAGCTTGCATGCTGATTCTTCATGAATGGATATCCTAGAACCTGAATCTTGCAAGCGGCATACCCAGTCCTGAACATGGTGTCCTGCCAAAAAATGGGACTAACAGTACTTTGTCTACAAGCTTATTGGAAGGCCTAAATGAGATAATACATGTAACAGTTTAGTACATGACAGCCAAGTACTTAAAGTATATTTATACATGCATTTATTTTCAACAAAGCATGATGAGAATGAATAGGTTACCTAGATAGCACATAAGAAATAAGAAAGCCTTGTTTGGTACACAACAGCTACGCTGAATTGGAAAATAATGGAAGCACAAACTTAGTGAAGTTCAGTCAAAAGGTAACGTCTTAAGAATAAAATAAATGAGCAATATTTTTCAAACCAATTAGAGGCTGGGGCCACTCCCCCATCAGAAATCTCCCATTAACATTCACAGCAGGCTGACTGGTAAGCAGAAGCTTGCTTTCTAATGACAGCTATTAAATGCTGTTAGCACTGAGCCTTGGTATAGCAGCAGTTTCCAAATAGCTGTGGGATGGAGAGGAACTTGCCAAAACAATGAAATGAAAAACACTCAAGAGCAATAATGACTCCACGGGGTCCAAGAGAGAAACTTAGTAACTGCTGAGGCTCACTCAGGTCTATGTAGGAAAACCAGGCTTTTCTGGTAAAGCACAGGCTGGCATTTGTAGACCTCTGCCACGTTTCAACCTGTACATTCTTTATGGATGAATTTAGAGGTCAACAACTTCTGGGAAAACTTTTCCTCCTTCATTAGGTTAGGGCGAATAGCTGCTGGGTTTCACCCATCTTTATAGACTAGTTGCATCTCACACAAACTTATGTGAATTCACCTCAACAGACAGGAGGTGGGCAGCAAGAAGAGAAGATGGTCATGACTTCTTGTCTCAGGGCTGTTCAGGGGGTGCACACCCTGCAGTGAGTGTCAAATGTGAGCTCTGGATCTGGTGGTGCTCATATTTCCGTGAGATTCTCTCAAATGGCAGCATCTCACAGTGTTTAATGAGCATCTAGTATTATAAACAGATACTCTTTAAAATACATAAATACTCTTCATTTAACAACTTGTTGCTAAAAATAAGCCAAGCATGTATACTGGTAATGATCCCAAGAAAACACCCTCTTTTCTAACAGTGAAGGAATGATTAATTGCCCTTGTTCTACTCATGTTTATTTGCCCCTCATTCTGCAACCACACTGCTAGCATGCAATTCCCTTGGGGGGCAGGGGTCACCTTTGTGCTTCTCTACAACAGGGGCCATGCAGTTTTTCCATCAGCGCTAGCACAATCCATGTCGTAGCATAATCACCTAATAAACAGTGTTTTCAAGAATGAATGAATTAAATTAATTTCAACAGACACTTCATGACCATCTTCCTTATACTGGGTACAGAGATAAATGCTTAGGATGTGGAGAACAAGATACCTTCCTGGTCCTCAAGGAATTCAGAGACTAGTCTGAGAGCCACATCAGTAAACTGGTGATTGCAGTCCAGGGTCCCAGAGCTAAGGTGAGAGCAGGGCCAGCGATGCAGACTGCTGCTACTCCAGAGGCTTTCTGAGAGGTGATGTCTGGTCAACAAGACACGGAAAGAGTAGGAACTCAGGTAGAAGGGAGCATCCAGGATGAAAGCAGAACTACCACCAACTTAGCTCATTTAGGACCTACAGACTAAATGGAGAAGGAGGTGTACATGCCAGACGTCAGGGATGAGTACCTGGCTCTTTTTCTTAGTCCTTCCCTTTCCAGAACAGGGTGAAGGCAGGTGTTGAAGGCAGCCTCTCATGAAAGTAGTGAACATGAAATGAAAGCATAGCCCACGTAAGAGAGAATAAGGGGATGAGAGAGAGAGAGAGAAGGAGAGATTAAGAATGTGAAAGGGAAAGTGATGAAACAAAGGAGAAAGAGTCTGACCTATACTAACAACTCAGGGCTTTTAAAAGACTGACAAGACACGGAAGTACACAGGCTGCTTAGCCCAGGGAAAGGCGATTGTTTAGACCACATGGCCTGTCACAGAGCACTGGGAGGAAAATCACCCCCAGGGGTGGTGGCAAGACCCCAGTCCACGAGAGATGATGCCATTTTCTTCCACTATATGTAATTTGCTATAGTCATGCACTTTAACAGAAATCTGATTCCAGGTTTCACTCTGGACCAATTTCTATAATTAACTACTGTAATCTGCAATCTCAAACTGAGAATGAAATTAAGACAGTTTGCAAAGGAAAGCCTCATGACATCACTGTTATTATTTAGCATTTATAAAGCATGTCCAATTTTCCACGTGTGCCTCACGTGTCCATTCATTATGACAACCACTAATTGTTCCATGACAATACCAATAGCAACATGTAGTAGTCTTTTTGTTTTGTTGTGTTTTCTTGGCAAAGAGAATGTTAAAAAAAAAAAAAAAAGAGGCAGGGGTTAGGTATATTTAAGTATCAAGAGACTTTCCTGGAAGATTCCTAAGTGCTTTCACAAACAGGCTTTTCCAGATTCTCAGGTGAGAATTACAAGGGTTGCTATTTACTGTTTTGCAAAATAAAGATCATCTAGTGAGGCAGTTATGGTATGAGAAACGGCACACAGGTCCCAGCCCCCAGACAGCTACTCCCACAGCGAGGTCTGCAGCAGCTGCCGGCAGGTGCACAGGTGGTCAGGCAGTCCAAAGGCAGGTCTTTCAAATATCTCTGTGTGTCTGAATTTGCAAGATATACTTTGGCTGCAGACTTTAGTCCGCAATTAAAAGTAAAGAATGAACTTCAAAAGAAGAAAAGCTATATAGCCTTTGGTTTTTATCAAGCTTCTTTCAACCCTAAATAAACAAAGAAACCAACAGAATCACGACTAAAACCCTTTTTGGTAATGTAATTTCTTTGAGTATCTGATGAATATGAAGGAACCCCAGTCAGCTCAACTCACAAACACACTATAGTTTTTTGGGATAATTTTAGATTAGTTCTATACCCAACTCTCCTTTAGGATTTGGTCTCAAAGGCAGATAACGACAAAGGATACCATATCTCCTGTGTGTGGAGGATAGGGGTACACATTTCAGGGGAATTGTGAGTTCTCTGCAACTACTTATAAAATGTGTGAATGTATACTTTTCTGGGAAAAGTGTTCATAAGAATCAAAATTAAGAATAATTACAAACAATAAGAGCTAATGTTTACCATGCATTTAGCAGATGGCAGACAGAATTCTAATTATTTTATGTGTATTAACATGTTTAACAAATGAGTAGTATATGAGGTGGGCATAACTATTTTCCCCACTTAACAGATAAGGACACTGAAAGTAGTGAAGATCTGGAGAATCAATGGGGCTACAGCTTCATTTACTGTCAAATATCTTGCAAAGTTGCAAACCTGACCTACAGTATGTACTGTGCTTACTCCTTTCCCATTCATTACCACAGTGGACTCCACCACAAACATGTGAGGCAGGTACTATCCATTCCACTGACAGATGAGAAGACACAGGCTCAGAAACAACCTATACCAATTATGTAGCCAGCATGTCATCAGGATCAAAAATTCAGTTTTCTTCAATGTTATCCAGGTTACTTTTTTTTAAAGTTTATTTTAAGAGAGAGAGAGCACAAGTTGGGGAAGGGCAGAGAGAGAGGGGGAGAGAGAGAATCCCAAGCAGGCTCCATGCTGTCAGCACAGAACCCGACGTGGGGCTGGAACTCACCACCTATGAGATCACGACCTGAGCTGAAATCAAGAGTCAGATGCTT